TGTGTGTGTGTGTGAAAACCAGGCTAGTGGGTAAAGTTACTTGCTACCAAGTCTCACCACTGAAATTCCATCCCCTGGACCCACACTGTGGGAGAATCTACTCCTGCGAGGTCCTCTGACCACCACACAGCTGTGCATACTCAATATAAACGTATTATAAAGGTATTAAAAATGTAGAAAAATCTTACTCTCCCTCATACCTTTGATCAGGTGGGTACGAAACAGGTTCCTTCAGCTGAGGATCCCATCACCCTGACATCTGACAGCTTGTGAAGCCAGCTGGAGAATTCTGTCATTCTGACTCTGGACCTCTGTGCCTCCCCCCTCTTTCCCTCCCCCCCTTTCCATTTCCCCTGCCCCATTTCTAGGACCTCAACACTGACACTCTGAAACTCTGCAATATGCCCAAGATGCCTTTCCTCTCCTGTGCTGGCCTTCCCTTTGGGATCCAATGTCCATGAGCCCCAGGTAGCTTTTTGTTCTATGTCACAACACTGGCTATGGAGCAGCAAATAAGGGGATGTGATAAAGACAGCATCCACACTGCCAGCCCTAACCCTTCCCCTATCAGTAGCTATTTGTACCCTCAGCAGCAGGTATGATGGCCACTTGAGGCAGTCTGAGCCTCTTTAGAGGAAGGTCCAGTTCTCAACCTTCCCAATGCTGTGACCCTTTGACACAGTTCCTCTTGTGACCCCCAATCATAGTTATTTTCATTGTCACTTCATAACTACTTCTGCTACTGTTAGGAACTATAATGTAAATATGTGTTTTCTGATGGGTTAGGTGACCCCTGTAAGGTCATTCAGGCTGAGAACTGCTGTTCTAAAGTCACTTAGGGAGGTCTTGTCCCTCGCACACATGGGTGTGTCCTTTCAATTTAATCTGATGCCAGGGAACATGCCTGGCCAGAGCATCCCAGCCCTCCATACTGGAATTATTCCCAAATATTCCGGTGGTTTTGGTCTGGGGCAGGGGTTTGGGGGTTGCATTTCATGAGCTTTTTCAGGGCTCAGACTTTTGGGGCTGATCTGTCACCTTGCTGCCTTGGGACCCTGAATTGCTGACATGGGTTCTGGGCACGTGGGAGGCCAGGGTGGAATGCTTCATTACACCAAGGCCCTGGTGTCGGGCCTCTGTTGGGGAGGCCCTGCCTATGACTGAGGACCTGGCTCATTGTGCAGGCTTTCTAGTCCAGGCTCCGCAACACTCGCCAGCCTGCGGCTTAGGGCTGGAGTCTCTCCCCCTAGAGGAGGAGGAAATGATCCAGAGCTTAGGTACAGGTCAAGAAGCACAGGGGGCAAAGTGTGTCTGTGACCGCCTAGGGCCACTGTGTGGTGTGAGAGACAGGCTCCTACCCTGGGTCCTACGCTGAGCGAGAACTGGGGAACAAGTGGTAAACAAAACCCTGGACCTCATGTTCTCTGACCAGCTGGGGGGTCAAGGCAGGGCATAAGATCTGGGGTGCCAGAGGAGTTATCAAGATCCACTCACTGTTGCTATTTCAAACAGAAGGGGCCTGGAGGGCCAGGCCTGGAGCCAGCAGAAGCCCCATTAACAATTAAGGCCTTTGGCACTTTCATTCTATCCTCACCATGAAATATTCACACCCTGGAGGAGCTGGGTCTCAGAGAGAGAGAGAGAGAGAGAGAGAGAGAGAGAGAGAGAGAGAGAGAGTGCTGGACTGCTACTTGTCCATTTGGGGCTCGAGGTAGCACCCGAGGCCTGACATGCGAACCATCTGGAAGCTCCAGGGCTAGGTGGTAGGAGCAGCTGCCAGCTGTCATTCAAATATATATATATATATATATATATATATATATATATATATATATATAAAATCTCAGGACTCAAAGGCTGCACTTGGAGCCTGAACTTAGCACCCAAACACGCCCTACTGTGGGACACTGCCATGTTCTTCTCCGAAGCTGGGCCAGTTGACATTCCCTCAGAGGTGGAGGGGTAGGGAGGGGCCGCTCCCTCCTGCATCTCCTTCCCATCTGTAACTGTCCAAGTTACTGACCCCAGGCCTTGGTTAATTAGTGCTGAAGAACCCACAGTGCACAAAGTTAACTGAAGGGGTGGGCAAGCTATCTCCGCAGCTATGGGGAAGTTGTCATTCATGCTGGTTATTACTGCTGTTATTGTTACCTCTCAGAGCCCCCGGGGAAGGATGGTGATAAGGAACTCACTGTCTCCCCGACTCCGTTCCTCTCCATCTCTCCATGCCCGGGCACATGTCTGTACCTTTCAAGAAGCTCTAACAGCGGGTGCTTCTACTTTGCCCATTGGTGGTACTCATGTGCCTGTGTTTGGTAGATCAATGAATGAAAATGACCTTGGGCAAAATATTCCTTTTCTGGGACTCAGTTTTCCTCCCTTTAAAACAAGGCCCTCAAACTCAATGAGTCATGCACCGCTGAGCCGAAGGGCCAATCACTGGCTGGGCAAACAGCTAGGGCTGCCAAAGCTGGAGTCGGAGCTGAGGGTTACGGGTGTGGAGAGGAATAAGAGCCCCTTCCCCTAGCAGTGGCTCTCACTGTGTAGCCCTGGCTGGCCTCAAACTTGCTGTGTGCCTAAACCGGACTCTGGGTGTTCTAGGGGACACAGTACATTTGTCCTGGAGATTCCCTCTTGCCAAGCTTGTGAAGCAATGGGGAGTAGCGAGCCTTTTAAGCCACCCAAGCAGCACCAATCTATGCTAGCACCTTCCCCGAGTTCTCGGGGGAGGGGGGCTTGTCACAGTCCTGGAGGAAGGCTTCCCAGCTAGTAGTGTGCAGATGATCTGAACCACTGCTTGGATAAACGTTTCCTTTTTTTTTTTTTTTTTCCTCCACTAAAGCTATTACCCTGGGGAATCAGAAGATAGAGACTGTAGGAACACTCCCCAACATAGCCTTTGCTTCCTGGGTGTAAAAACAGATCTGCAGCTTCCCCAGGCACAAACCGTCTTAAGTCTCCCCCTTTTAAAACCCACATTGTGCTGGGCTGACCTTCCGGACACCCCTCTATAGCTGACTCACCCATACTGAGTATGTGGCTGGCCTCCGAACCCCTGAGGCTCATCTCCCATCCCTTTCTCCAGCTGTCTATGGGGGGGGGAGGGTAAGACTACTGAATCTAGCTCAACCCTTGACCCAAGAACCAGAGTTTCTTAAGGTGATCCAAGACAGCTTTCCAGATTCAGGTTACTCCAGGACTTGCCCTTTGACCATACACCTTATGACTCATCTTTTTTTTCTTTTTTTGAGACAGAAACTCACTCTGTGGGCCTGGAACTCAGATTCCCCTGGTGACCTATGGCACCCGCGGTTCTTTTTTTTTTTTTAATTATTACATTTATTTATTTGTGTGTGTGTGAAGGTTTATGCATGCCATGGCCCATATATGGGGGGGGTCAGAGGACAACTTGAGGGAGTAGGGTCTCTCCTTCCATCACGTGGGTCCTGGGAATCCATTCAGGTTGTCAGGCTAGGCATCAGGCTGAGCCATCTCAGCGGCCCCTCCTCCCTTCTGAACCGGCCACTCCACCTAAATAGTCTCCCCCACTATTACATTACCTTTGTCCTTGTTGCTCGGGCTCAGATCCAAGCTCCTACGTCCTAGCCCCTCCCAGAAAACAAAATCTAAGGCAACTCATTTCCCTGCGTAGCGCTATAGACAATCTCACAGTATCTTCTCACGTTATACTCCTCCCAAGAATGCCAAGTACCCTCAGAGGGCAGTGGCCTCTGTAGTCTTGTCCGGGTAGAATTCCCCCGTGCTGGGGAAGGTGTGAGAGGGCGCACGCAAGAGGTTCAGTAAACGGCTGAGTAACTGTAAAAGGGGACGTCAGCTGCTGCGCGGGCACGCGCTCCAGGCCCTGGGTAGCTTACCCCGGTGTGCGTGCGTCCGGGGCGGGTTATCTCCTTGCAGGTCCAGGGTCCTTGCACCCTCCCCTCGGCCTGCTGACCGCAGAAGCGCCTTAAATACGCTTTAGAGACCGGACTTACAGGCTGTAGGAAGATCCGAATGCCCCGCAACGATGCGGGGCGGGGCGAGGTTCTCCCATCGCTGTGCGCCTCTAGACCCCAGCTTTATTGCCCGGGTGGGAGACCTTTCTTGGCCTTTCCCAGGGGTTTCCACCTAGCGAACCAAAGATATTCCTCCAGTCCCAGGAATGTAGCGGTTGAGAGTGCGGAGGGGCAGGGATCTGAGAACCGCTCCAGGAAATGGGCAGGTCCCCGCCCCTTCACTTCATCAGGACAGGGGGAGAGAGGAGAGATCTAGCGACGAGACTGGCAAGGCTCTACAGCCCTGAGCTAGGAGTGGAAAGACAGCCTTTCTGCGAATTTAGGCAGGGGATCCAGCCAGGTGGAGATTCGGGTGAAGGAGGTCGGTGGCCCGGAAAGGGACAAAGAAGAGCTCTGCCCGACCTCCCACGTCAGGGTCCCATTGTTCCTCCTCTCTCGGCTGGACCGAACTCTGGTGCTCCCGGGAGCGAGGAAGGGAGCTGAGCCCTCCCGGTGGGCATTTGTTTATTAATAATGAGAGAGGGAGGGTCGGGGACGCGGGCCCGACAGGGGGCCGCGCATCTTCGCGCGTCTCCTTTAAGGGAAGCCCTGCCCTACCTTTCCCACCGGTCGCCGCCACCCCCCAGCCCTACCTGCATTTTAAAACCGCCTTGTAGTCCTGGGATTGGCCCAGGCCGCGTCCTCCGGGCGCAGAAACTTGAACCGGGGGGAGGAGGGTGCCTGGCCCCACGGTTGGACGAGACCATCTTTGCGGCATCCCCCGCGCGCGCCCCGCCCCTCCCGCACACCCCCGGACCGGCCCAATCAGACCGGCGGGAGGGCGGGACCACGGCTCGAACGCGCCTCTGGCAGGGCGCCCGGCGGGCCGTCGCATCGCGTAGGGGAAACCTCGGGGGCCGGCCGCGCCTCTGCTCACCTCCCTCTCGGAGGCGGGGCCCGACTACGCGCCCCGCCCCCTCCCCGCCCGGGGTGGGCGGGGCGGCTGGGGCTCCGGGAGCGGGGCCGGGGGCGGGCCTCCGCCTGCTGCGCCCGAGCCGGGAGAGCCCGGGCACCGCGGCCACCGACACAGCCACCGTCCCCGTTCCCGATCCCTGAAGCGCGCGCGGGCTCCCGGGGGACCCGAGAGGGGGACCGCGGGAGGGAGCGCGAGGCGGCGCGGGGCGGGCCTCACGCGTCCCCGGCCGCCCCCCGCGCGCGCGTGGCCGGGCCCAGAGAAGCCCCGGCGCGGGGAGCGCCGGCCCGGCGCGGGCGAGGGCGATGCCGCGGTGACGGCCCCGCCATGGCGAAGCCCCCAGCGGTGGCGGCGGCGGCTGCGGCGGCGGCGTCGGAGGAGCTGAGCCAGGTGCCGGACGAGGAACTGCTGCGCTGGAGCAAGGAGGAGCTGGCGCGGCGGCTGCGGCGCGCCGAGGGCGAGAAGGTGGGCCTCATGCTGGAGCACGGCGGCCTGATGCGCGACGTGAACCGGCGCTTGCAGCAGCACCTGCTGGAGATCCGCGGCCTCAAGGACGTGAACCAGCGGCTGCAGGACGATAATCAGGAGCTGCGCGAGCTCTGCTGTTTCCTGGACGACGACCGGCAGAAGGGGCGCAAGCTGGCGCGCGAGTGGCAGCGCTTTGGGCGCCACGCGGCCGGCGCTGTGTGGCACGAGGTGGCCCGCTCGCAGCAGAAGCTGCGGGAGCTCGAGGCGCGCCAGGAGGCCCTGCTTCGCGAGAACCTGGAGCTGAAGGAGCTGGTGCTGTTGCTGGATGAGGAGCGCGCGGCGCTGGCGGCGGCGGGGGGCGCTGGTGGCAGCGGCGGCGGCGCGGGCTCCCGCAGCTCCATAGACAGCCAGGCTAGCCTGAGCGGGCCGCTGGCGGGCAGCGCGGCGGGCTCGGGGGCCCGCGACGTTGGCGACGGCAGCAGTACGTCCAGTGCGGGCAGCGGCGGCAGCCCGGACCACCACCACCACGTCCCATCCGCGTTGCTGCCCCCCGGGCCGCACAAGGGTCCAGACGGCAAGGCCGGGGCCACGCGCCGGTCCCTGGATGACCTGTCGGCGCCGCCGCACCATCGAAGCATCCCTAACGGCCTGCACGGTAAGCACCGCGCCGGGATCGAAGCCTTAGGGGTGTTGTGAAACGGTAGTTCCTAAACATCTTACAGGTTCGGGATGGTGGGGGGGGTCGCACCTCAAGATCCCTCCGCAGCTGGTATGGCAAGTGAAGCATTCCGCGTAGTGGTGTCCCTGTGTAGCTGATACTGCAGTAAAGTTTCTCATTCCACAGCTTTTTGTGTCAGACGGTGCTGTCTAGGGGTGTCTCTCATCCCACCCTGAAAACACTTGTGGGCAGAGGGAAGTTGTTCTTGGAAGACTATGAAAGGCCTCTGAGATAAAGCAAGTGAATTTCCCCCTTCTGGTTGGAGCCACAGTTGTTCCCCAAACCCAGGGAGCGTCCATAACTGCGCTGTAGGTTTGGGCTTCCTTCCAGCCCAGTTTCCTCCCCTGCTTCCTTGCAGCCCGGTCTCCTCCTGGGCTGGGCTGGGCCGGGCTGGGCCGGGCCACTGGCACTGGTGTTGAGACCTTGAGGCATCTGGGCCAGAGCGCTCTGGGCTAAGATAAGAGGCTTCCTGGTTTCCCATAAATCCTGCACTACTGGTCGGGACACCTTTCTCAACTTGGTCTCTACAGCATTCCCCAGAGGATATAGTTGCTATGGATTCTGGCTTCTCCGTGTGCCTTGGTTTCCTTTCTTCCTAATAAGTGGGAGAGGCTGATCCCTGCCTCACCGGGGTGGGTGTGAGGTGGAGATAAATAACGCCCCTGAAGAGCTTTTGTATGTAAGCTTGATCGTCTTACAAGAAATGCTGGGGTCAACTGTGGCTAGAGGTAGGTGGGAGGTCAGCTCTGCCTGTACCGTGTGCGTCACCGCCATAGTGTCCCTTCGGTGCCTCTCTCTGCCCTGGAGCTTCCCTCCTGTCCCGACTACCGGATGCTGTACTAACCAGTTTCCACACAATGCTTGGAAGCTTGGTTCCCAATGTTGGTGGCACCTGCTTCTGCCTGAACTGTTGGTCCCTTTCTGTTCTCCTTAAAGCCTTTCTGTGTCCATACACTATCTTAGAAGAACTCTTCCCAAACTGACAGCTAGAGCTATCTTTAGTTTCTTTAGTTTCCTGGCCAAACCCTCTACAGGCATATTGGGGTGGGGACAGGTAGGAGGAGCTGCAGTCCGGATGTGGAGGTTTCCTCCTTATCCACTCTGCAGAGCTTGGGAGTTCAGAGAAGGATTGGGGAAGGACATGGATACTTTGTTCCTGATTATCAATCTACCGCTGTAACTCCAGTTTCTTTTTGTAACAATGCATCCACAGGTCCTCCCCTACAGCTACTCAGTCAAGCCCCCACCTGCAGAGTCCCAGCTTAATTTGATGGGGGATGGATGCGCACCCCTCTTTACAGTGCATGCACCTCTCTGGCTTCCCCTCTCTGGGGGCTCTGGGAGAGTCAGTGCTCTGGGTCTTGATTTCCCCAAGTGCATCATAAAGGAGGGGAATTTTTGCAGTCAGGGAAGACAGTTGCTGGTTTTCAGCTATGTCATCAGCAGCCCTTGGCCAGGGTGATTCTCCAGAGGACACTACACTGCCTTGCTTGAGTACCCCCCACCTCTTTGCAGACTGCGGGTAGTCATGTTTTGTGCAAGGAGATGAGCAAGGCCCAGCGTTCCAGTTGCAGTAGTGAATAATGCAGCAGTTAAAGACCTGGCCAGGCTGGAGGTTTTTTCCACCTTCTGGGGATGGGTAGGGGTAGAAGTGTCCCGTTTCCTACAGACCCCCCCCCAAGACTCTTTGCAACAAAATTGCTGCAGATTTTTGTAGTAGCCAAGCTTTGCTTTGGCCCAGAAATGAAAACTCAACATTGTTATTACAAATTTCAGTTACACACAGGATTCTTCTTTTTAGTTTTGTCTCTTGAAGTCAGTGGGTGGCCATGAGATATCCTCCCTCTAATGTGCTTAGAATCCCAGGAAACAAGAAAAACTAGGCTTCTCTGTTCTAGTACCTGTAGCTCACATTGGCTTTGCAGAGCAGGGTTGAGCCAAGAGAGAGAAAGGGAGTCCTGGTGGTAGTCAGAGTAGAGTCACGATGTTCTTAGTGCCTGGACTTGACGTGCAGTCATGGGCAGCTTGCATCAGCCCTGTTTTGTAGATGTGCAAGGGGAGGAACACTGAGGACCCAGCCTTGTCTTGCTGGGACTTTTACCAGGGTCATTGATGTTTCTGCCAAGAATGACTTGAGGCTCTTGTGGGTGTCATTTTTGCTTTCCTGTTAGGTAACAGGGATGCCTCCCTGTTCTTCATTCCTGACCTGGCTGTGACTCTTCCCATTCCGGGAAGTGTTACTTCCTTATCAGTAACCACAGAGTGGCTCATTGGTAACCCAATTATCCATAGGGTCTGGACACTTTGACTTTCTCATGTATCTTGGGCAACTTGGTTAATTTTGCCTCCCTGTCTTTCTGGAAGGTGGAGGGAAGCCCACAGAGCCCTTTAGTCCAGAAAGGTCAGTGAGGTTGGCACCTGCCCATAGTGGTCCTAGCAGTGGTTGGAGGAGGCTTGGCAGCACAGTTTGGCTTCTCTTCCGTACCCTGCTTGCCTTGCAGACTGCTTGTGGTTTATCCCCATCTGAGCTGTATGTGACTGTACCTGCTGCTGAGCCAGGGGGACTGGGGCCCTGTAGTCCTCTTTGGGGGACCAGTGCTGCTGTACCCACAAGCCCTGTAGGGTGTGTGGCAGTGGTGGAGGAGGCCATCTGTATTCCAGGCAGTCCTGGCTGAGGTGGGCTTGGCTAGCCTCTGAATGCATATGCAAATAGGCAGGCACCGGGCAGGCGCTGGGCTGCTTTTGAGAGGCTGGGTCCTGGCTGGCTAAGTAAAGTCAGGTATAGGGTGCCCTTGCCGGCATTCCAATCTAGCCCTGCAAGCTGAGACGATTTAAATGCCAAAAAATGCAGCTGCCCTTTCTTTCCCCAAGTGAGGTGACTTTCAGACAAAAACATTTTCCCTCTAGGGTGTAGCTCAGGGGTAGAGCATTTGCTCAACACAGTATAGAACTCCATTGACAGCAACACAGCATGCACACACGTGCACGTGCGTGTGCGCGCGTGCACACACACACACACACACACACACACACACCAGAAAAGGAAGCCTTTTCAGTTAGTTTTTTTCCTTCTGTCCCTCTCCCATCCTTCTAACCCCACCACCGATCCCCTGTCCTTGGGTGTGCCCTTCACCCTCCCCCCCCATCCCCTGTGGCTAACTCAGAACCTCCAGCAAGCTGTGAGTGCCATTTATCTTTTCGTGTTTGGGTTAACATTTTGAGCCATGCAGAATGAGCAGGGTTTGATCTCCCATTTTTGTTTTTGTTGGTTTGGGGGTGGTGGAGTAGGGGGTGGTCTGGGCCTTTAAAAAAAAGACAGAGCAAGCTGGTGGTGAATAGGTCTTTTTTTTCCAGGAGGCCTCAGGGCTCTATTAATAAGGCTGCCTTTCCTAAGCCTGCCAGCCTGGAGCAAAGGTCAGAGGAGATAATGGGCGGGTTATGCAAGCTTTCCCTTTTCTCCCAGCCTGACTCTGGTGGAGGGGTTTGTGAGATTGTCATGGACTTGGGTGCTAGGACCTCAGAGGGCCCCAGGCATTCATAGGCAGGTGACCCACTGAGCACATCACATTTACCACAAGGAACTTGCTAGTTGTCCAGGGAGGGCTACCTTATGCTTCCAGGAGGCTTTTTGTCCAGCTGAGGCGTGATGAGGTGATGGGCATTGCTTTGGTCCCCTCAGGGCATCTAGGGTCTCGGGCTAGTGATTCTAGGGCTTCTGTGTTAGCTGGCCAGCCCATGTGTGAGCTCCGTGGGGACGGCACATGCAGTACAAGAGTCAGTTCTTGCCAGGGAGATCTGCGCTGCCTTTTGGAGAAAAGCATCCTCTGCAGGGTGTCTCTCAGTATGTCTTCCTCTTACACTCATTTTGGCTTATCACAGTGATCAGCCTGCTACAACTATGTCCCATGTTAGGCCTCTGAGCTCCTGGGACACAAACTTTGTGAAATAATGATCCATGACCAGAATATTTTATGAGGAAACCAGCTCCTACACATACCTGCTAATTTTTTCCTTTCTTTCTTCCTTCCTTCCTTCCTTCCTTCCTTCCTTCCTTCCTTCCTTCTTTTTCTAAGACAGGGTTTGTCTTTGTTACAGTACTGGCTGTCCTGGATGGACTCACTCTATAAACCAGGCTGGCCTCGAACTCACAGAGATCTGCCTGCCTCTGCCTCTTGAGTGTTGGGCTTTGCACAGGCTCACATACCAGTTTTCTGCACACACCATGCCCTATGGCTGCAGTCACAGTTCCTTGAAACTCTTAGGCAAGTCCCTGAACCACTCATCTGGACAATGGGAAACATGACTGACCTTTGGGAGGAGGGAAGGTATCTTTGTATGACAGCCTGAATGCACCTTCTCTGGGAACACCCAGTGCTAAGCTTAAGGCATAACCGTGCCTGCTGCCTAGGGCTCTAGCTCTAGGGCCAGGAGAGCCTGAATGAGCTCTGTCCTGCCTGATCGGAGACCTTGCTAGCTTACTGACCCTCCAGGTCTCAGTTTCTTCATTTGTAATATCCTGCTCCTACAGGTGAGCCTTTAAAGGAGGAGTCTGTGGCTTCTCTTTTCTTCTGGGTCCTAGTCTCATGCTGGGAAGCTCTACCTGGGGTGTGGGTAGGGAACCCCTAACCCGTGCTTGTGAGTGGAGCCTTTGTGCCCTCCCAGTCCTGTCTCAGAGGCAGGGAGCTCTTGTCCCGTTGAACAGAAGCAAAATGGCTTTGTATTCAAGAAGGAGCAGAATGGCTAAGTTCTGAAGGTGGGAACTGGAGCATCATGGGAAAATAGCCTCAGTGGGGCAGAGGTGGGTGCTGTGTGCAGCCAGCCCTACGTGTGGAGTCCTAAAGTTCCAGTGACAGGTCAGCGCTTGCAAGGGAAATGGTCCAGATAAATCCTGTGGCCTCTAGAGGCAGGAGCCAGCCCTCTGTTAGGGGAGGTGTGTG